CTCCGAAAAGAACCTACTTCCCACCTGGACGGCATTATTTTTACCTTCGGTCCCTGCCACTGAAGGGCACCACATGGATTCCCAGCGGGCCACCATCGTTTGTCACCTCCACCACTTTGATTAGGTCTCTGCGATCAGCCGGGCACGGAGCGGTGGGCGACCAAAAGAGTGAGGGTGAGACGAAGGACACCATGTGAGCAAACAAAAAAAAAAAAGGAGGAAATGTGATGAAGGTGCACATGAATCAAAACAAAAGAGGGGAAAACTGAATTAAAACATGGAAAGTAAAATGGTGTCGAAAATGTGACAAACACAAGCCAAAACCTGATACTGACTGTGAACTAAAACAAGTGTGTGACAATAATTATATGCAGTGGAGCCCTTGGAAGCCTTCCAACGTTTTCATGAAAAATGAATTCTGGACTGGGTTCAACTCTTTTCGTTTCTGCTGGGCTTCTGCCCGTGCAAGTGTTAATTATAAAAGATGACTTTTTAAATTGGACATTCCGGCAACACTTCAACCTCCAACTGCTTGTTAATGAAGAGGCGAAGACTCAACCCGGGTGGCTGTGCCTCATTGGGTAGTGCGGGTCGTCCAGTGAGCAAATGGTCGGCAGTTCGAATCCTGACTCTGACTGTCTGCTGTCAAAAGGCCATTGGGCAAGGCACTGAAACCTCAATTGCCTCCAAGTTGGCATTGTAAATGAGAACTGATACTTAAATCCATTACCTGGTTTAAAAAAGAATAAATAGACATATGGACAAAATCCTGGAAGTTTATTTACTCAATATTAAGAAATAAAGTGGAGTGCTTTCGCTGTACCTGAATCTTACACAATTACCCAAATGCTTTTGTTTACAATTCCGGTAAGTCTTCCAATACTTTCACTTCTCACTTCATCGAGGTGTCCCAATGCTTTTTGACCAAATTCCACATTTTCTTCATTTGCATTTTCCTTGAACTTGACCAGATACTTCTTTTGTTCACTTTTCACTGCCTGCAATGTGTCCATTTCATCTATCCGCACTGTCATGTACATTTAAAGCTGCCAAAATGACGAAAAACAAGTCCTTGCATTTGCAGCCGAGCTCGACAAAACATCATCCAGCCGCCTCGCTGCTTTGAAACAATAACTGTGATTAGTTTGGGGGAGTGTAAACCGGGTGCCTTGTTGACAAGCAAGAGGCGTCGGAAGAGTAATAATAACAGCAATAGGATACCTGCATATCAAATTGGAGGAAAGAGGACCATAACCAGACACGCTTGCTAATAACATTGGCGGCGGAGTGGAGGAGTGTGTGGGAGCTTCCGTGGCGCTTTTGCTCCCACTCAAGAGTGACAGACTTGAAAATAATTTTGCTATATTGCGTCAGTTTCCAAGAGTTGTTTGGCTGTTGTGCTGCAAATAAGATATTACACCACTTACAAAAACTTTGGGCTATTGGGCTTACGGTTGAATTGCAGAATGAACTTAAAATGAACTATAACCTTCCATCCAGGTAAACTCAATTTCATTCATTCATTCTCCGGACCGGTGATGCTCACTAGGGGTCACGGGCATGCTGGAGCTTATCACAGTTGTCTTTGGATGGGAAGCAGTGAACACCCTGAACTGGTCACCAGCCAATCATGGGGCACAAGTAGACAACCTATTTCATGCCAAAGCTCCACTCACCTCCTGAGCTTTTCCACTTTTTGGGAATAGTGTATATATATATTTTTTTCATTTTAGTATCAAGCAGTGAGTGTCTTTGGAAGTTGGAGACTCACTCAAGAGATCTGGCGGTGGTGGCAGTGTGGTCCAAGCACGAGTCGGCTCGGCCCGCTGGCTCAATCCGGCCATTTTCTTGCTCTCTTGCCTCGTCCTCCTGCAAACAAAAAGACAAAATGGTGGCTGGATAGAAACCATTGCTTTTAACGTAGAAAGGTGTTCCAATATTTTTGTTCTGACCACAAGTTTTCTTCACCTTTCCATTCCCCGCATTTTTATTCAATTATTCTATTCTAATGAGGGGAGGAAAAAAAAAATCTGGGATTGAATCTTTTGGACCAAACCATCCAGCCCTATTGGAACATTCCACTATATTGCATCAAGTCGTAGATAACCTGACGGCACCAGCAGAAGCAGATGGGAGGAGGTCTTCAACAGCAATAAAAATTCATGGACTTCAATATTACATTGCCTTCTGCTCTGTGCTGCGTATTAATTTTAATACACACGTGTGGACACACATGCAGACGCAATGCCACACACAAAAACGCTGATCGGCAGCAGTAGCCGAGTGGTAAGACAAAAAGAAGAGGTCATTAAAAGTGGAGGGCTCCACCCGAGAGCGCAGACCTCATCAGTATGAAAATGGGTCTTGTGCTCCTAACGCCGCATGATTGCCATGACACCCGCAGGACGGCGCCGCCCTCGTCGTTTCTGCTTCCATGTCTTCCCTCGCCTGTTCAGACCGCTGCTGATGGCACTCTATCGCAAAGGCAGCAAGGGTAACCTCGCAGGGAGTGTGATAGCCGGATCAGCGGAAATTCAACGCAATCTGTTCCCGCAGGATGTCCAAGCTTTCATTTATCAAAGAAAGATAATGAATTTTAAGGGAAATAAACAAAGATGTCAATTAAGCTCTAGGAGTGCTCTTTTCAGGAGGAGCAGAAATCAGATTGGAAACATAAGATAAATCTTATGTTTGTACGGAGGTAGCTAGTGCAAGTTTTTTTTAGAACATTTGTTCTTTGAGATGCCAGTCATTTCTTTCACAGTATCCTATCAGCGTATTTGGATTTAAGTGTAATTTCATGTTCAATTCACATTTTGACTGTTTTCATAAAAAGTTGTCACTTTGTCACTTGAATATTGTCACATATAAAGATGGTACTTTTTTTTTTAAATACAGATTATCATGCAATCACTGTAATGGCAGAAAATTGGCGTATGTTGAATAACACTGATTACTCCCCGGGAAAATGAAAAGAATAAAAACAAGAAAACACCAAAGACCAGCCTGATTTTACATCTCAAGTCACAGCCTTGAAAGATCTACTGAAGTCTGTTTCATCAAAGTACAGTTTACTTATGAATGCAGAAAGCTCCCAGTGTGATATTACTATTCATGAACATTTGAAAACAAAGAGAGAGCTCCATGGAATGAAAAAAAGGGAAAAATAAGAAAGGAAAAGGGAAAAAAAAGAGCCTATCGGGCCGGGGTGCAAGCGTGGGAGCGGCTGCGCTATCTCCTGGAAAGGCCAAACAAGACGGGCTTTCATCGTGGCACGCTCCCGACATTTCACCGTCGCTCTTTTCCTTTCAATACGCGCCACCGGCGAGGATCTGGCGGCACGCTGACAGACATACTCGGCAGTCGGGAAGTGTACGTACAGGGGGCTAGATGAGAAACAATAGAGGCAAATGGAGGCCAATGATGAAGAGGGAGATAGCACACTTTTGACACAATTAGATTAACGATATACTGTCACTGCTAGCTCAGTTGTATGCGAAGTGGCGCTGCATGCAACGCACAACAATTTGATGAAACTGATTTTGGGTCACCACAAAAAACAACAAAAAAAAAAACATTACGTTTTGGAAGTTGCTAGAACCAAACCAAACTGGTCTGGTTGGCAACAACAAGCTACACAAGGGTTAATGTATTTATCCTGCCAGCAAATGGCGGATGTTCTGAGTCGCAACCTGGTATAGAGTACGAATATTCGTGTATGGCTTGTTTATAACAGCCCTCCAATATGGCCGCCGGTAGTGCATTGTGGGTAATTGCTAAAAGGACGGAGCCCTCTATAACAGGCTCGTGGCTAACAACTAGGAGGAGGGCGTGACCACTCGGCCGGCACCGGCGAGCCGCGGGTGTCCTCTAAAATGCTAAAAGTCGTCTGGCTACTTTTCAAAGGCAGTGTGAATTCGGCGAAAATAAATCTGCCTTCGACACTAACAGCCGGATACACTTGTAGTTGCAACCGATCCATCTTTAACAAAACATACTTAAATGTGTCTGTTTTTTGGGGGGGCGGGGTCTGTTCTTGCCTTAGGTTTGGAATGTTTTTGGGCCATCGGAAATGATGTGGGTTCATGGTAGAGCCAGCCATCTTATTTTGTTCAGCCATGAAAAATTACAAAGATAGGCAGGAATTCCCAAAAGTTAGCTTCAATGCCAATTTCTGGTACCCTGAGGTACTCAGCTTTGGGTATAAAAAGGGGGGTACTGTCCTTTAAACAAAAAAATACTGGGCTTACATGCCATTTTCCAGGTGCTCTGCCGTGCCACACGTTTGGCTGGGAAGGTTTCAGCCCCATTTGGATTTTTTTTTTTTTCTTTGAGTCATGGCTGCAATGTTCCTAAGCCCACCAAGATGGGGTAAGGCTTCTTGAAAATGTGCAGACTGAAAACTGATATTTAATGTCAATTTCTGTTCTTAGATAATTTCTTGTGACAAAATTGGGCTTTAAAATCGAAATCGACATTAGCAATCGCTGGATCTACTGCTGCTTTGATTGACAGCTGACCTGCAGATGAATGGCCGTGAGGTGGCTGCATTTGAGTGACCGCAGCATAGAACCTCCTCCGGTTCCTGCCGCTGGGAGGTGGGCTCTGACCGAGCAGATGCGTGAATAATTCATGATGGTGTTTGGGGGAGGCAGGCAGGTATGAGGAGTATTTCCTATTTCCCCCCCACCCCCACCTAAGTCATTGTTTGTTTCCTGAGCGAGGAAGGAGAGGCGGCTAGGTGGGGGAGGAAGGGGGGTGTCACTGTGGCCCAGACTCATTAAAGATTAATTCCAGAATCCATTGAGGTCTGTCCTCCCTATCTTTCGCACTAAATAAAGTGCCCCCACTGTGTGTGTGTGTGTGTGTGTGTGTGTGTGTGTGTGTGTGTGTGTGTGCGCGCGCGCGT